AAAATAATAATAAAATTACTAAATAGAAATTAGTTTGTTAATTAAGAAAAGTATACAATTTGTTTTATAAAAACTTTCATTTTAAAATTTAAGCAATAAAAGTTGAAAAGCAAAACCAACAAAATAATTAACAAAACGCTATATAACCATGCATAGAAATTTATATATTTTAAATACTTACATATTCTTTCTTTTGAATTACTACCAATAATTGTATAAATCTTATTTCATTTTGGTTTTAGAATAAAATGTTTATTTGCAACATAATTCATTCAGTCAGAACATTGAAACATCAATTAGATTTTTAACTAACTTATGTTAAATGTAGTATATTGTAGTATATATTCTTTGCTACACTTTCATATAGATTTTGTTGTATATATTATTTGTATTTTTGCTATACTTTCTTTTATTTCTCCATACAAAAGGTTTAGATTTAGAAAGAAGCCGTACATTTGTTTAGATCTAGTTCTATTTGTAGTTCAAGTTCTAGTTCTATTTTGTTTTTTAAAATATTTGTTAGAGCATACAGACATTCACACACGGACACTTACAAACACACATACACGCACACATAATACAGACAAAGAGAGACTGAGATATGTATAAAGAGTATAAGTGGGGGAGATAAAGCGTAATAAGCATCGAATTACATAGACAGCTTAAATTAGTTAACATTTTGATAGGGAAAGGACAACATAAATATCATATGAACAGCTGATGGATAGTTCATTTTACATAGAGTATGTATATCATCTATCTATTTATATGTGTATATATAAATGTATCTATATATTGTGTGTATTGCATTTTGTTCGTTATTTTGTTGGTTGTTTCTTACAGTGGGCAACTTTGTAGCTTTGACTGCTCTACTAAAACATAGAGCAGCTCTTATTTATGTATAAATATATCTATTTATTGTGTGTGTTTTTTTTTACTATATGTAAAGTTATGCGGACGGCTATTTCTATTTTTTGCTGCTGTTTTCTTTTCCAATTTCCAAGTTTTGCTTTTTTTTTTTTTTGGTCGTTTGGTTGGTTTAACAATACATAAATGTTACAATACAATTCATATTAATTTTTTCATTCAATTTTTTCTAGTTTCAACATTAGCTGAATACCAGTTCAGCTCTTTTAACAATTTTTTCTTGAACATTTGGAAGCTGTTGGTGGTGACCCTTATTTTTGACGTTTTCTTATGTTCTATGGGTTTCTCAATGATATTCTAGATTTTCTTTTTGTTTGTTTAGGCTGTGACGCTCACCTTCGTATCGTCTAGATCTTCGATATCGCTGCTATCGTAATCACTATCGGGCGGCGTTAATGTCTCTGCACCGCGTTTCTCCAATATGTTCTGCATGCGTGATTTATTCAATATGCTGGCCACCTGATAAGCCGTTAGTCCAGCATATGTTGCTGTCTCCAGGTTAAGTTTCTCGCATTCGTCCAGCAGAAAATTGGCCAAATCCTCGTTGCAGCACTCGATGGCAATGTGCAGAGGTGTACGTCCGCCCTTGCCCTCCTAAAAAAGAAACATAATTCAAATGCAATTTGTTAATAAAAATTACTACTTTGATAAGAGATATGTTTACGATATTAAAAGCTCAATTATTCATTAGCGATATGCGCTATTCAATTTAAGATCAGAGCGGAATAAATCAACCAGTTTAAAATATAGTATTTATAACGCTCAAGTGAACAATTAAACTTAACTTATCTCTGTTTCACTTACCCTGGCATTTATGTCCGCGCCGTGAGCTACCAAAATGCGTAAGATATCAATGTGTCCAGCGCCAGCAGCCAAATGTACGCAGCGTTCACCTGCAATGTTAGAAAAGAAATTGAAAGTTAATAAAAATTGCTCTAAGGCAAATGCATTCAGCACCACTGTGCGCTACATTTATGAATGAAATACGATCTTTGCTAAAGCGCTCAGCGCAAAAGCTTCGTTGTGTTGTTGTTGAACAAGTAGCATTTTAAAATACAAAATACAAAAAAAAAAAAAAAAAAACAGCACGATAGCCAGCAAAAGCTTTGATTGCCCCAAGAGCAGGCGTGCAAAGACTGTGAGGAAAAGAGAGAGAGCGAGAGACATGAGATGTGGAGGAAGGGGCGGTGAAGTCAGCTCAGCGAACGCGTTTTGCCATATGCACACACACACACACACACACACATGCATATGCTTGACTGCGTGTGCGTTTGCATAGGTGTGCGTTGAAAAACCCAAGAAATTCCCACAATAAAACAGCAGCAAAATAACAGCTACAACAAACAAACACAAAAAAACCAGCAGTGGCATAAAAAGCGACGGCGGCAACAAAAACAGCTATACTGCAAAAAAAAAGTTAACAAACCCAACAAGCAGACTTTTCGTTGTATTGGAGCAACTAGTTTGCCCAAGTTCAAATTGGTTGAAGTCTAAAAAAGAGCAAAAATGTTTGCACATAATTCACAGACAACAACAACAACAATACCTAGCAGTTGCAATAATTCAGCTGGCGGTGTACTAAACGATGCTTTTATAATTATAAATAAATAAATATACAAAAAAGACAATTCTCAAATTATATCTCGCTGCTTGATCGCGCATACAGATTAAAGGGCAACAACAATAACAACAGCTACAACAGGCCGCTTTTATTATAGCTGTTCTGTGGTTTTTGCTGTTACACGTGCTGTTGATTGACTTTCACACACAAACACGCTCCAGCTCCAGCTGCTGGTCACAGAGGTGCCCGCTCATTTGCATTCAATTTCCGTAAGAACTTTGAATAAAACGCATTTAAGTTGCGCATGCGTTGCCAACTACACAAATCTATTTGTTTATCTTTGAGTATTGCAAGTGTATTGGCAACAAGTGCAACTGAACTACTTCATCGCCTAGCCCTGCGCATGCGTTGCCAACTGTCTATGAGCTTTCCTTTTTGAGTATGTATGTAGATTATCTATGTTGACAACAAGTTCGATTGGTGAGCGATAAATGCTTATCGTTTGCACTTGAACTAGATCAACTTTTGTTAGGGTGGCTCGCACGTCGTAATAGTTACGGCTAAATGCGCATTAATCGCCGCGAGCGCGACAGTTATTAATCATGTTAATCATTTAAGGTGACTCAACGCTATTTACGCGCATGATTTAATTTTATGACAACACCAAAAATCATATTCTAAATGTAGATAGTTGCTTAATTTTATATTTGAAAAATACAATGAAGATGTATATATTTGGTAAAGTTTCCGTGTTATAAAGTGGCTCTTTCTAGAAAGAAAGAAAGCAGMTATCTGGCACGAAAGTTAAAGCCGGCTCTCTTGTTGCCGTCCCAGTCCAGTTCGGAGGCTTACAAACAATAACAACAATTGTGTCACAAGTTTTAAATATAAACGATGACAACATTTTTTTTTTTTTCGTTTCTCTGTGCTTGAGCCAGTGATCAAGCTCGATCTCCGCTGATCGGAGAGAAGTCGCTGGCTAGATTATAATACGAGCGCATAAACTCGATGAAGCGATAGTAAAAGTCAAGAGAAGCTCAAGCACAATTCCCATTGTTGTTATTGCGGATCGTTAGCATACGATTAAATACATCTTTACATACATACTCATACATGACTGTAGCAAATCGACAGACATTTTTTGTTTGCTTAAATATGAAATATTAATCACAAAGTTTGCCTCAAACTTTAAACTTGGGGAATTCCCAAGCATTGCTGCGTCACGCGCCTTAGATTTGAAAATTTGAAATCCGTTCCAGCTGCTAAACAGAGAGTTGCCTGTTTTTTTTTAAATATTATTATTATATATTATCTAAAACTCTATCTGGGCGGCTGCCAACAAGTCTGAGCCACAAAACTTGACAGACCCCTCATAAAAAACACCAGAAAAAGATTTTAAAAAATACAAAAGAAATAAAAATTCAAAAGCAGTTAAACTTGAAATTGGTTTTTGGTTTCAAGCGGCGGCCTGCTTTTCAGATAATAAATATAATAATAATATTAACGCTAATCGAATGTGAGCTTAATCAATTATTAAGAATTAGGAAACTGCGCACTCCATGCAAAAACATTTAAATAAGTTTGATCTTGATTTAAATATTATTTTTACTATTAAATACTATTACTATTAAATAA